TAAGGTAAGTGACACAGCATTCCAGAAACTGATATTTGCAAAGTGTTTCATATAGAGAGTTGTAAGGAATGCCTTTAGGCGACAGTTTCCCTCTACTGTCTTACGTTTATTGTATGTATAAATAAATTTCATTTCCCCAGGTCCATATGGGGTCTCATCAGTGACTTATATTATTTTGTCTGCCCTTATACGTTCCTCTGAGGAAATGCCTCGCATTCCCAGGGGAAGACCTCACACCATCAATAGTGACTGCAATCTTGACCCAGGTGAGATAATCAGAGCTCCTATACCGCCAGGACACGTGATGGTCCACTGGTAGGACCATGAACCAAACATGGTCAAGAGAGGTTCTTTTCAAGATTAATTTGGATGCTGGATGACTCAGAGAAGCTCCCATGTGTAAATGACCATGAGGCTTGCACTGCTTCAAAACCGTAATACCCAATGTGGGGAAAGGCTAGGACAAAAATCCGGAAAACCTGTTGGAATACACAGATAGCGATGGAGAAAAGGATACATTTCTGAAGAGTATGTGAAATCCTGCAACACAGCCAGGGCTTTGACTTCTCATTTACATGATCCAATAAACTCTTTTGCATTAAGTAGCCTGAGTAGTCTTCTATAAATTCCAATTAAAAGTGGTACATAAAACACAGTAATTAATGGCCAAGCGCAGCTACGAAACTCCATCGTGAAGGAAGAGCCAGCAGTGGAAGCAACTTTCCCATGTCCCCATCAAGGTTTCTCCTTTAAGCCCCACCCAGTGAGTTCCACCAAATCTGTTGCAGCTTGAAATGGGGAAAGGTGAAGGAAATTCATGGCGCACCATGTGTGCAGCCGTTTGGTGGCGCACAACGGCTGCGTGAAGTCTGTGTCTGTGACCAACCCAAGAGACGGACTGAGGAGCCATAACTGAGGCAGTGCCTTGAACATGACTATTTTGTTTTCTCATGTTTTTGAGACAGAAGTTTTGAGGAAGGGGTACTTGCTTCTCTCGTATGCATGCCATAGAGAAGTGAGGACTCAAACTTTACTCAGTGAAAAAAGAATTAGGGGTTATACTTAGGTTCCACTCCAGTGAAAATACCTACATCCTCCTACTAAGCAGTTTAGTTTAACCATCATTCAAAAAGTGGTCATGCTGACAGCAGAATGAAAGCGCTTTTCATCACGCAAATTGCCTACCTTGAGAGCCCACGGAAAATGAATAAGGTAGAGGTCAACATAGTCCAGTTGAAGTTTTTTCAGTGAGCTTTCCAAGGCTGGTTGGACCAACTCAGGTCTATGGAAAGTGGACCAAAGCTACACAGGTTAAAGAACAAAAATTGTGTTGAAGAAATACTTCAGTCAATTTTATCAGTTTGCTTCACCTGATTTTTCAACATTTTCCCCCTGGCTTTCAAACTGATGACCACCGGCAAAAAGTATTCCCTTCCTTCTTGTATTTCCTTTAGACCCGATCCTTTCCTATGAACTCTGTTAAACTAAGGCTGTCCAGGAAGTATCCAGCCATTGTTAATATAATAAATATCTCTATTTGGCTGGATACATTCTGGACAGCCCTTGTACATTGCATAAATAATTAGTACGTGTACTGAACTATGGAAGCAAATTACTAAAAAATAAAAATTGTTATCAAGTAATAATTATGCCTGTTATCTAAATTGTGTTTGATAGAATTTACAGAGCAGTTTAATAATCTAGTTATCTCATGTCTTCAACCCAATAGGCAAGAATAAATATCACTCTTGTTTAGAAACTAATGGGAATGTTTTTATCATGCTAACATGCTGGACACAATTCAAGACACCGTAGCCATAAGTATTTACTGGTCACTGCGTTTTCTTATATTGCTTTCTTTCTCTCTGGATAAGATGACAAAACATACTTAGAATAAGAAATTTTAGAAAGTCACCCAGGAGCAAAGGGAAACATAATATGATCATTGTTCTGTCTGATTCTATAGACCATGTTAAAACATTCTGATTTGAGTTGAGGCTCAAAAAGGTAAAGTGACTTTAAAGTCATAAATTTGAACACACCAATGGTGAGAAAGCCATCATCATTGTCTTTTTAATTCTAGTTTCAATACATGAATGTGTGTGAATACAAGTTAAACTAATAAGCACAATTTCCTATCAATCACTGATGTAGTCATATAATTGTCATCCCTAGACATTCCCACCAACAAGCGTGCACCCTCGCACATCGTATACCTTTGATGTGTAGAAGATGTTCTCTCTCTTCACAGAGCCATCTTCGATTTTGCTGTGGATGGCCAGTCCAATCTGCTCTTCATTATTGTAAATATAAGCTGCATCGATATGGCGGAACCCAGCTTCTATTGCACATTTGGTGACCTCCACAGTCCTACTTTTAGGGACCTAGACAAGCACCACGGGTAGGATTAGGAGCTCCATGTGACTGAGAGGTAGTTCAGGCACAAGCCGTGACCTTCACAAGAACCAACTTTTCCTCATCTTGCGTTACTTCTGTATGTGAGATGATGAACCCGTCCCAGTTTCCCTGGCTTATTCTTGGTTCGCAATAAAGGTTGAGCATCCCAGGAACTCTTCCCGTCCCAGGCAATCTCTCATTGATCACTGGCATTGGAGGTCCCCCAAAACACTCCACATTCAGGGATTTGTTGGAAAAATTATCAGGACTCAGTATATAGTTATAATCATAATTATGTTTTATACAGTGATATTACCACATAAAATAGGTGCACGGAAGTATATATGGAAGAAATAGAGTGCAAGCTTCTATGGGTCCTCTCCCATTGACATCACACAGAACACACTAAATTGTCCAGCATCATGTTTGACAACACATGGCAAATGCTGTCTACAGGGCTTGCTCTTTAGGTACTTAGTTCCTGAGGTTTTCACTGGGGTCTGGTTACACCTGCAGCAGATGCCAAAATTCCAGTCTCCCCAAAGAAAGCAGGTATACATAAACTCCACTGTTTGTACAAGCTGTTTAGGCACAACCACCATTCTAACCAGTTAGCAAATGGTGAGAATTCCA